CAACCCTGAGCCGGTGAGATTTGAACAGCCGAACTGCAGAACTGCAGTCAGCTGAAGTAGCCTGCAGTGCTGCACTCTAACCACTGAGCCACCTCAGCTGCAAGAACCAGAGATTGTTTTCTTTCGTGATTTTATATGTAAGCTGTTTTATCGTATTATTAAGAAGACTAGGTTGATGGGTGGCAGTCGTGTATAACTTTACCCATCTCTTTGCGCTGTGCTTCCCAGGCCACCAGCCATAAATTAGGACCTAAAGCTTTTGTAAGCTATTGCTTTGAATGCAACAAAACATTTGCAGTTTTTGTTTTAAAAGGGCCTAGTATTGGATAAATCAGGACAAATGGATAAGGAGCCTGCTGAATAGCCCATTTAAACGTAAGGTGAACCTAGGGAATATTTAAAATTCTGCTCTGAATATCGAATCCTGAGCACCTCTGAACCTGAGAATACAATCCTGTTCCATCTCGCTGTGCTACTCCACCATCTAGACAACATACTAAAAAGAAAGCTTCATGAGAAAGTGAGTGCATTTTTTGCTGTTGGAGAGGGCCTTCACTGCTATCCTCAGATAAATACAAAATTTGACCACTTCTGCCAGGAAGAGATGCAACATTAACAAATATTGGATATATGAGCAAGAAGATATATTTACATAATTCCTGGATGCTCTGGTAGGGATGATAATCCATCCCTAAAAGCACCTTATTGGCCATTTCAACCACAAGCTCCGATCTTAAGCATCATAATAAGATCATAATTTAAGCCACAGCCTAAATCATCACATGTATCACTCTAAAGTAACCATGGTTTGCTAAAAACAGTAATTTAGTGAAGTTGACACAACATGCTAAAACATGACCCAAAGAAGCCACATTACCTTTTAATATGCGTGCATTCAACCAATGATCAAATATCAAATTCACTAATTCAAAACTATGACTTGGTAATATTTACTTCGCAGGTTTTACCCAGCTACTTCCTTCTAACACTACTAAAAGTTGTCCTTAGTCTCATCAAATGGGACTGCTGTGTACTAAAGAGTGATACCCTTTGATCGTTGTACAAATGAATACATTTCTCTGTTCTATTTAATAAGCCTTCTGTGGCTTTTAAAAATGCCTGTAAATCCCCTTTAGTATAGAGCAGTGGTTCCCAAACTTGGCAACTTTAAGACTTGTGGACTTCAACTCCNTGTTGTGCCATGTGTTTGTGAAGTGGTTGTTTCGTTTCCCCAATGTAGACCTGCCTACCAGCAAAGATGGGAAAGAAAAAGAACGCAAACACATCAAGGAAGCACTCAGAATGTGTGGCTATCCCAAGTGGGACTTCATCAAAGCTGAAAAAAGACTCTACAGGAGGAGCTCCTCCATAACAGAGGATGAGAGCAATAAATGAAGCAATGTTGTCATTCCATCTCTAGCGGCATATCTGAAAAGCTTCAGTCAACATAACATGCGTGCACTAAATACACTAAGACAGAACCTTGTCCACCCCATGACACAGATTGAGCAATGTGGTACATGCAGTACAATGCAGTGAGCCATGTGCAGGCCTGTACATCTCGGGAAACGAAACAACCAATTCACAAACACGTGGCACAACATAGGAGAACAAACCCATCAGGACTAGATTCAGCAGTCCATCTGCATTTAAAAGACACAGGGCACCCTTTGGAAGACAGCAAAGTCCATATTTTGGAGAGAGATAATTACTGGTTTGAAAGAGGGGTTAAAGAGGCCATCTATGTCAAAACTGGATAGCCCTCTCTCAACAGAGGGGGAGGGATACGACATCTTGTATCTCTACAACACAGTCCTTTCAACAGTCCTAAGAAGGCTTCCCATCCATTTGTACTGCTCAGGTGACACAGATAAACCTCCAGGTGACCTTAACCACTTGCTAAGAGAGTGCAAATATCCAGCTGTCTGCAAGGAGTATCAATCCTTCCATTCCCCACCATCCAGCCAGAACTGAAGAAGCTTCTTGGATGAGAAGGGAAACACCTTCAAAGAAAAACAAGGAGGTCCAGTTGCCTCTTGGGGGAAAAAGCCCCTTTGGGACAGCCGGGACCTGGAGGACGGAGACTCTCCAGAGACGTTAAGAAGGGGACAGGCAGCAATAGGGTAACCAGAGATCCACTAGACCAGTGTTTCTCAACCTTGGCTACTTGAAGATGTCTGGACTTCAACTCCCAGAATTCCCCAGCCAGCGAATGCTGGCTGGGGAATTCTGNATTAAACCCGGTTAATGAGGATCTCCTTGATTTTCTTTTCTTCCTTGGTCATATGCTGCTGTTAGGTGCTTGAACTACTGAACATCTGGGTCTATATGGCCCTGAAGGACTTGAAGGAAGTCCCTATTCTCCTCTAATGTCCACCTGATTAGTACAATATTTATTTATGCTTTGTCTTTTTCCATGATGACATGAATATCAGGGGTGAAGCTCTGTACCTAATGTCTCCTGCCCTTCAAGGACAACTTTGTGGTTGAATTCTAATTCTGCCTCTAGATAAGTCCAGTGCCTCACCCTTCCTTGTCTGTTTTTAACAGGAAAGACCTCCCACTTGGTATTCTTCTTCTTCTCTGGTTAGCAACCAAGATCAAATGCTATTCTGGATGAAATCTACCTTGTATCCACTGCTGAAGAACTATTTCTTTTAATAAACAGTGATGAATATCTTAGGTATTTGGCATGGAAACAGAACATGAACTAACAATTTTTACATGTCCTGGTATGATTGGGTCAGTCATGGTATTTGCAGGACAAAAAGAATGAGCTGGGGCATGCCAGATGACTAAACTTTTGCTTAACCATTTCTTTTAGATAAACTGTGTTATAACATACTAAAAAAATAAAATAGCAAAAAAAAATATCATAGGAGAAATCTAATTCACTGGGTTTTTTACAAAATTGCCTTGAGACAAGTTACAGATGTATTAATATTTGCAATAGTTTTTGCCAATTTTCCCCCAAATTATGAAGCTTTCCCCATTTAATGCAGCATGCATAAAGATCCACAAGCCTAGATAAGTAAGTAGTTAGACAGTTAGATAGATTTACCTTAATCTCTTCCAAAAGACGTTCATTTTCTCCATTTAAGTTTTCAGCTAGCTTGGTTTGTTCCTTTGCCTCTCGCAAAGATTCACGAAGATCATTGAGCTTGGATTCATATTCATTTAGTGAATCTCTCACACTTTTAATGAGCCCTTGGTTGTTTGTGTTACGCTTTTCTAGTTCATTCCTTATTCGATCTAGCACTATACAGAATGAATAAAGCAAAACAGGAATGAATCAAATAACCTGTAAGCATTAGGTCCTTCAAGTCTTTTTGTCTCACATTCTTTCTATAAATCAATTTCTCATCATGAAATTATTTTTAGTTGGGTAGATCAGCTGGCCTAGTAAATGTAAATATAGATAGGAATTAGCCTGTATATTTTTATCTTTATGTTTCCAAACTTTCTGTAAAGATTATTTGACAGCAAAAGCTCAACTTAAGTCCTGAACTAGTTTCAAGCAGCAACAAAGTACAACATTATTAAAGTGACTATTGCCAGTTTTCTTCATTGTTATACTACAGCTTCCTTCACATCCATTACAAACTCGGTGAGCATTTCCAGATAAGGAAACAGTCTTTCTCCATCTAGTCCCACCTTAATAAATCCAATTGAGCCATTCTACCCAAACTATGTATAGTTTATAGCTCTTACAGTGTTGGGCTTTTCCTTTTTCCTTTTCTGCTTCTGTTAGCTGTTGGCCAAAATTGCGGTTTCTCATTTCATTGATCATTTGCTGAGCTTTCACCAGCTCTTTTGCAGAGTATTCTGTAGGAAAAGAGGATCCTTCTGTAGAAGTGCCATCTATCTGTCCCAAGAGAACTAAGACAAGAAAAACAGGATTTGAATAAGTAAGAGACTTTTACCATACCCTATTACAAAGATAAGTGCTATATATTTAAAGTAGGAGTACAAACATGCACTCTTCAGGACAGCTGCAAATCACTCCAGAAGTCACATCAATTTGTAGTGATAGAACTGGGAAATTGTTAAATATATGAGAATTAACTATATTAATTATAATTGGGTTTTGTCTTGCTCTAACCACTTCTTGGACTAGACCCCTAGCAAACCAATCAAAAATCAGATGAAATACAGAACTTGTAAGCAGACGCGCAACCCTCTTTTAAATTTAAAAGGTGCACTTTCCATTCAATGTACTATAAGTAAATTATTAATGACATCCTGATTTATCTCAGTGGATAGAAACTGCCAATGTACATGGGGCTTATCAAAACATTGCAGTCTTATCCACAACTTCTCAGAAGTAAAGTTAATTTAATTCAATGAGACTTATTCCTGAATACATGGCTCTAGAATAATAATATATCATCCTTGATAGATGTCCCAAATAGATATTCCCATCTCCTTTTTTTTTTCTTCTATGAACAAGGTGTGACCTTTTTGCATATTAAGAGGACAACTGAACAAGTCAAACTCAAAACGTCTATGGATGTTATGGCTATCATGAAGGTGACAAATACATTCTTGGGGAAGGGAAATTGCCTCATGTCTTAAAGCAAATGTTTGGGCTGTTTTAGACTACTATTCTCCAATATCCACATTATAGGGAAGTTTGTAGAGAAGGTGATAAGTTTGCAAGTATCTAGACAATTCTGAATAAAATGGATTGTCTAGATCATAACAGCTAGAATTCAGATCTGGGTATCATGGAAACTGCAATGGTCATCCTAGAGGATAATCTTTTAAAGGCCAGGGATGAGGGAATGAAACCCAACATTGATTGGGGTATCCTTCCAGGCCAAATGGAAGGGCTAAGGCAGTGATTGCTAATCTTTTCTGGAGCAAAGTGTGTGCATGCACGCATGAAGGCACGTGTGCGTACACAAACCCCCAAAATACAATGCACACATGGCCCCCATATGCATCCCACCCCACACACATGCATGTGCCCACTTTCACATGCGCCCCCTGCACAGACCTGGCCCCCACACATATGCATACATGGGCCCTGCATGCCCCCCACCCCTGCATGCGTGCTCGCCTACACATGCGCCCTGCGCTTGTGCAGCAGAGACCTGATGACCAGCTGGCCAGTAGGAGGCACGCATGCATGCACTGTGAAGCTGAACTAGGGCTACGCATATTCATAGAGAGGGTGCTGCGTGCCACCTGTGGCATGCGTGCCATAGGTTAGCCATCACGGGGCTAAGGGGCTCTCCTCCTTCCTGAGCAGCTACTTCCAGTTGGTGAGGGATAGAAATTGAGTGTTTGCACATTGTATTATAGGACATTGTAGAGCTCAGCTATTTCCCCTTATGATTTAACATTTACTTTAAACTGCTAGAAGATATCATTTGTCAACATAGGGTGATCTATCATCATTGGTAGAAAAATCCAGCTTTTCTCTATGTCTCTACTTTCTACGGGACAGACAGGAGATGAAGATCCTAACCCAGTGCTTGGAAGTGGTTAGGAAATAGATGAGAGGAACAGACCCAGGTTGAATTCATCTACAAAGGCATAGTTGTAGGTTCTGAAATCAGATATATTCTACCTATACCCTACCTATTTGGGTGGGGGTCATACATATATGTACTGAGCTGGTTTGCAATCTGGAAGTTGTCCTGGATTTTTAGCTCCTTCTTGAACAGCATGTAAAGGACAAAACCATGAGACATTTTACCCTCTGATGCCCCAATTGCATCTTTTCCTCGATCAGGAGGCATTATGCATAAACGGTGGGGGTTTTTTTTGCCTGCGTGAGATTTTAAATAACTTCAATTGTTGTGAATAGAAGCTGTTTTAAAATCTTATTATTGCAGAAACAATTACTGAGAAGGGCAGTAATAAACCTTTTTTTTAAATTAAGATTGACTTCAAATCTGTTGCCACTACTACTGCAATAAGGTTTTTAAACAGCTTCCACTGATATAAACAGAAAATAGTTAAAGCTGAAATGAAGTGTAAAGAAAGAAATGAAAGAAAACAAATTGAAAACAGAGGCTATGGTGCTGGATAAATTAGCAAAGAATTAGTTTGATTCACAGGCTGATATAATTTCCCCATCCTTAACGTAAAAGAAAAGACATTGCTCTTACCATTAATATGGATGAGAATAGATTGGATCTTGGAAATTAAAGTTCTTCCTCTTTGATTAGTTTTACTAAAGTTATTTAAAAGATTCTGTGCTTTCTTGTAATTACCTTCAGCCTAAGAGTTAAAAGTTACATAACATTAGTAAAAGTTTAATTTAAAAGTATTGAATATTATTGATTTATTTGGGTGTTTATGTAACACCCTATTTTATTAACACACATCTTCATAGTATAATTTGCTATTATAATAGGACTAATTTAACCAAAGGTTAAATTAGGCATTTTTTAGCTATTCATAAAAGAGGTTTTTTTTTAATAAAATGCATTTATTGCATAAACTTTATCAGAATGATTAAACAGATATCACACAAGGATAAAGATACAAAAGCAAAGGAACAGATACTACTAATAAAACATAAATAAACATTATGGAAAAATAAGTATTGATGACTTGTGAGAAATCTGATCACTCAAGATAGAAACCAAAGCTTTGGGGGATAGGTGCAACAATGTATACTTTTTTTGGGAACATTGTGATGATCATCAAGTTTCTCGCTAACCGTGACAGAGAGAATGCCCCAAGTCAAACTCTTTTATAAATTTTATATGTCTCGTTGACATTGACAAGCAGAAATATAAAAGAAATGATACAATTACAGGTAGTCCTTGAGTTATAACAATTTATTCAGTGATTATTTGAAATTAAGACTGCACTGAACAAATCTTGCTTATAGCCGGTCTTCGACTTACAACCAAAATTGAGCCTGGAATCTCAATTGCTGAGTGAAGTGGTCATTAAGGAAGATGTCACATGACTGCCCATGTAATTGCTTTGCTCAATGACTGCAGTCCTGGCACTCCTGGTTGTGGTTATTAAATGATCATGAAGGTCATTAAACTGACAGACTACTAGATACAGAATGTGGGATCCCTCAGGGCAGGGAGAGATGCTGGAAGCTCCGCTTAAGAGCTGAAAATCCTCCCTGTTAAAATCCATGCAGGGTTTTCAGCTCCTGAGTGAGAGATGTCACACAGAGATCTTCCCCAACCACCTGAGGCACCTGCACTGCCTATCCTATTGTGTTGCCTCTCCACTCTCTGCTTGAATTTGGGGTCCTTCTCATCTCTAAGAGCTGGCTAAAAAATGCCTGTTAAAAGATGTCATTTCTTTTCCACACATGGAAGGTAATACCTTCGGCAGGATGCAGTAACAGAACTCAGATCTTCTGGATCTGAGCTGCATTTCTCCACCTTGCACAATATGGACACTAGGGTAACATTTTGCCATTTATTAAAGATACCTTGAGACATGTTCTTCAACATTTATTATTATAATTTTATACAAACTCTTCAAATCTCAAATATGATTAGTAAACACATTTTTTATTTAAAAAAAGCTGATAGCAATATGTAAAAGTTTTAAACACTTACCTTTTCTTTCAGAGCATTAATATTTTGATTAATGTGAGACAAACCTGTCTCCAGTTCATCTACCTTTGAGCTTTGAGTTTTAATAACAGAATGAGAGTGATTCAACAGACTCTGAAAATAAAGGCAAAACAAAATGGGAATCAGCAAACTGAATACATTCCAAATACAATTTGGAATTAGGAAAATATGGACAGAAAAGCGCTGGAATGAGACTTCATAAATTAGCTCCTACTGCCATTAATAGGTGAAGAGATGACTAAATCATAAGACAGATTTCAACAGAAAAATGTTACCTGGATGCCCTGAGACTGATAGCAAGGAGTAGCAAGGAGGGAACAAGAAATGTTAGAAATTCCATCTACAATAGGGCCAGAATAATGCATGGAAACTTAAGGATGCTAATTTCAATAGATTTAAAAATCTACCAAATTCTGGGTAGGACAATGAATACATACATACATACATACATACATACATACATACATACATACATACATTCTCCTACCCAGAATTTGGTAGAATATATATATTCTATATATAATTGTGTGTGTGTGTGTGTGTATAATTGTATATATATACAATTTTCTGTGAAATGTTGCCTTGTTTATTTAAATTTATAGTATTTCTATTTCGATGGTAACTCAAAGGTTATGATTAACATTGCAATAAAATAAATGTCATAGCAATGTATTTAAAATTATCAGGAAAAACAGAACAATAAGATCTTAGCAAGAGCAGAGCCAAACATTTCTAACTTTCTTATTTAGCTTCAATTATTTAGAAAGGTCCTGCTTTGCTAAATCAAAAGAATAGATCCCTTTACCTGAGGATATTCTAAAAGTGAAGGGCTGCAATCAAAAAGATCCTCTCCTTGTTTCCCCACCCTATCTTCAGAATACATGGCTAACATAAAAGTCCTTTCAAAGATCAAATAATTCAGAAGATGTTCGTATAGGAGAAGAGAGAGAAGATCAAAGACTTGACTCCCAATCATGCAGGGTCATTGGGAATTGTGCATGGAAATGAATTTGCAGCTGGTATGACTATTCCCACAAGATATCACAAATGGTCATTTTAGCAGATGCGTTTCCCCACAACACTTTATTAAACTTGAAAAAAATATAAAACAAGAAGGCAAAAAACAAAAAAAGTTGAAGAGAGAAAAGGCGGACAGGAAAAAAGCAAAACTTCAGCCAAGAAGGGACAAAAACCTGTAGAAAAGAGTAACTTCCAAGTTTCTTTGGTATAGATAAAAGCATGGACTATAATGCTCCTTTGAACTATAGTAAAACATAGCACACAGTACAGTACTTCTATAGACATAAGAACTTCTAGTCATCAAATCCAAGGCTAAAAGTTCATTTATTTCCATTTCAAGCAAAATCTTAGCACTATGCTTTTGACAAACTAACCAGAAGAAGGCAATACTGCTCTACTGCTGCCAAGAATACATATCCGTGGAGTCATCAGAAGTTGTGCAGGAATTGGGCTGAGTTAAATTTTAAAGAAGGCTTCTAAGACAGATCCATGAATAATACATTCAAACAGTCCAATTCGAATTGGCTGCTAGGGTCTTTCTTATGAAGTAGTCTAAGAAAGAGTAATGGAATGGGTTTCATCAAAATTCAGAACCATATTCCAGCCCCAAAAGAACTCTGAATATGACATTTCTCTTATTGAACTGTTTCTAGAGCATATTTCAGAAGTGTACTCAAGCCTCTGGAAAGTGAACCCAATCCCATGGAAAGCCAGTTTTTTTCGAGTTACCTCCAGTTGCTTGCTACGGACTTCCAGGTGCTTCATCTGGCCCAGCAGTTGGGCACTAGTGTTGATACTTTGCATTTGAAATTCAATCACTCGGAGCTCACTTCCCATTGTACTCAAATCTTCCAGCAATGTGATTACACAACTGCCACAAGCTAAACAAAAAAGAGCACACACGGATGAGTTTAAAGTGTTACTTTTTGTATATTCAAAAAAAGAATGGGTCTACTAAAAACAATTATGAGACAGAAATATATTTGTAGAAAATGTTATTTGTTACTAAAACCAATAACAAAACTTTTGAAATGGTGTCATAAAACTATGTTTGTCATACAACTGAACTGTGTGTCTGCACTATATTACCATACAACCAACAATAAAGCCAAATATATGTAATCTTTGAAGCCATTCTTTGTATGTCTCTCGTCTATGTTCAACCTTTCCTAATTTGCTGCCCTCCAGATCTGTTGGATTACAACTTTTAGCATCCTCACCATTAACAGAGAGATTCTCTCTCACTACTGGGGATTTAGATAACTTATTCTGAATAGGCTTATTTCCACAAGAAAATACCAAAATTGCTCTTTCTAATCTCTAAAAACATAGCTCTTTATTAGTGCTATACGTATAAGCAAGCTTTCAGACCAAATAAAGTTTATAACTTACAATTACAATCTTCATTTGGATCTATGTCTTTTGGTTCTTGGCTTATGCACTCTGGAAATTAAAAGAAAAAAAAAGAGAAAAAATTAGAATTAGAGGATGCAACAATACAGGATGCAATGTTCTGAAATGTCAGAAAGATGATAGTGTTATTGATGCCCTCTTCACTCCATTGAAAGCTGCACATTGTTATGTAGATAAAAACATTGGAAGCCAGTTCCTAGAATCAATACTGTAAAATATTATTTACCTACTTTCTCTTTTTCTTTATTTAATTTACATGCCTCACATCTTACTCTCCAAAGTTGGAGACTTACAATAAAAATACATTAGAGAGGAAGTTGACAGGATCTTGTAGAGTTCTTTCCAAAGTTAAATTTACACATTGCTTTCTTGTCTTTCCTCAAATAATAGCTTAAGCTAATGCGAACAAATTATACCATAATACTGGATCACACTCCTGGGCCCTTCAGAAATCCAAGGCATTAGTTACTAAATATCTTAGCAGGGAGGAAAACAAGGCAATTCACTTACTCCTGAATTCGTCCACTGATTTAACTCTTTGAGCTCAGAAACAAAAGATGTGGCATTAGAATACAAAAATGGTAAAATGTAATCAAAACATTCAACCAAAATAAACATATTTATGGTTCTTGGGATCACTACATTTAGCAGTATTTTGAGCTACTCCTGTACAACTCCTTCCCTTATTAATCAGGAAAGGGTTTGGATTCATGTAAGTGTTCACACTGTGGCTGCCTCTCCTGCCAGCATAATTCCATTTTCACAAGAGGAGGGATACTGACCTCTAAAGGAACCGCGCTGTCAAAAGACTGCTGACTGCCAAGACTCCAAAAGACCTTTTCAAAACAGAGTCCTCTTCCTACACCCCAATTCAGTCCATAGCATACTACAGTGATAAGATACTACAAAATATAATACAGGTAGTCCTCGACTTCTGACTACAATTGACCCCATAATTTATGTCGCTAAGCAAGACATTTGTTAAGTGAGTTTTGCCCTATTTTATGACCATTCTTGCCACAGTTGTTAAGTGAATCACTGCAGTTGTTGAATGAGTAATGTGGTTGTTAAGTGAATCTGGCTTTCTCATTGAATTTGCTTGTCAGAAGGTTGCAAAAGGTGATCACAGGACCCCAGGACCCTACAACCATCATAAATATGAACCAGTTGCCAAGCATTTTGGTCATGTGACCATGGGAATGCTGCAATGGTCATGAGTCACTTATTTGGTGCTGTTGTAACTCTGGATGGTCATTGAACAAACTGTTGTAAGTCAAAGACTATCTGTATATGCAGCACAATTCTTATAGCTTATGATTTCTTCTGACTTTGAATATTACCTCATCTCATTAACTTCAACCTCCAAGCTATGGCAATTTGCAAGACAACCAAATACAAAATTCAAGGCAAATATTACTATTGAAGATTAAGTAGACCGGTTTTTCTCAACCTCAGTTACTTTAAGATGTCTGGACTTGAACTACCAGCTACCAAATTTCCCCAGCCAGGCTGAATACCGAAGTAGCCTATCACTTTTAATCACTTTTATCTCATGACACATAAAGTAGGGTGCCAATTAAATATGACATGCCATTGCCTAATAGGAACCAGAACATCCAAAGGTATGCAATTATAGATTTCAATAAGCTACTGCATGACCACAATTAAACCAAGGCTCAATACACCACAGCAAAACCACAATGACATCAGGATTTGCTCAAGTAACTGCATCGAGACTGAACTTGTTTTAGCAACTGTTAGTTTAAGCAGCAGGGCAGCACTTTAAAATATGTTTGAAAAATATGTGCCCAGTTATATAATTCTAGTAGTTTACATAATGGAATTGGGAAAATAGCATTGCCTTTGAGACAGAAAGCCTCATAATATATTCAGATAAAACAGGTTTCCTTTCAATTGTGTCAAACATTTCAGAGACTAGAACTGAGAAATATGTGCAAGTCTCAAAACAAAAGTCGAATATGTGTCCTTGGCAAGTAAAAATTGGTTTAGACACAGGCCTGGCTATGTGTCCTTGGGCTCTCCTTTGGCTCTGGATGAGGAAAGATTCTTGTTGGTTTGGAAACAAGTTCTACTACTTCTTGTATATTACTTTTTATGATTCGGATTCTTTGGTTCATTTCCCTACTTTCTTGCTCATCTCTAACAGTTGCCCTTGACTCTGACTTGAAATGTTAAGTGCTCGTGTCTAATTAAAATTGGCCCCCAGTCTGATGTCTCCTCTGAGTAATACAGAGTGCATATAATGCATGCTGGGTAGCAAACCTCTGGCTTTCTAGATGTTGCTGAAATACAACATCCTACATAGAAATAAGAGCACCAACCTGGCAAACTAATTCAAAAATCAAGGTGCAAAGCACCAAACTCTCTAATACTATATATGTTAACTAGCAAGCACCAAGTAAGTAAGCCACAAATCTGTAATGGTATGTGGGAATAACTTTAGGAGACTGGGCTTAGAGTCGCTGCCTAGGGAATGGTCATTACCCCATACCAATACAAACCGTAATAAAGGGATTCATTAAAGTGACATTATTATAATGTTGTTGATAGACTAATATTTTCATTTAGACAAAATTACGGTATATCTTTTTAGCCAATGTTTGGTATGCTTAAAATAATGCTTATTTTCTGTTATAATCCATTAATGATTTTTTTTCTTATACCAAACTTTGTTTTTCAGAAATGTCTAAACAAAACTAGAGAGTCACATTATTGAAATTAACTGAAATGTTTAGATGAAAGGAATATCATAACTGATGCAATGCATACTCATATAATGCATTTAGAATTCCTTCAATTCTGCAAATAATTGTGTTGTTTGAAAAAAACCACAATAGTTAGGCAATTTTACTTTTGGGAATTCAAATTAAAGCCTTCAGCATCTTTCACTACTGGCCATGTTAGTTGAGGCTGCTAGAAGCTGTAGTTCAGTAATATATTATTATATTTCCCATGCCTATTGTTCAAGTTTATCTTCCTTGAAACTTCAAAACAATTAACATAAAAATTGTATAGAAGAAATTCATAATTCATGTGGATATCTAAATTACCTAAATGCAATCAGCTATGAAAACTGTAGGATGTAGGACACATAAATCAGGATTATGCTGTTTAAACATTAACTAATACATTTAATTACTTCATTAAAAACATAAATGTGTAAAACAGGTTTCTCAGATACAATGGAATTATAGCAGCAGCCAATGGATCTTGGGACTTATACTTCAACAACACCTGAAGAACTAGATTTTTCTCATCTTTATACTGTAGTAAGAATGAAGAGCTATAAACAGAGAATTGAAAATATAACTTTTATTTGCACAGGAATCTTTCTAGTAGATTATATTCAAATATTCTATGGTTTCCTTTTTGATATTCAGAAATATTTATGTCACTTTACATACCCCCAGTCAAGCGGTCACATGTTGTGAGCTGGCCATTCTCCAGACAATTACATTTTTGACAGTATCTGTATTTCAGTGGATTTCCAAAATAACCAGGAGCACAGCTACAAAATAAATTAATGAACAAATAAAACTCATAACTGATATAAATCATCTGACAATGAAACAGTTTTACTGGCTTAAAAATCTGCATCACATCCATAAATTTAAACAATTTGTGTTACAATTGTCTAACTGACCAAACAAAGCAAAATTTAAGAATACAATTCAGAATATATTTGGCTAAAGTAGAAAACAGATGCATTATGAACTGAATAAGGAAATAATTCTTAAGAAATAGCCGGTGGAAAAATTAGACTACATCCTAATTCTTTCCTAGTTTTTAAGAGATAGAGGAAGATCATAATTTTACATACAAACAGTGGTAGGTTCAGCTGAATGGGTAGTAGTTTGGCAGCTTGGGTTGCTGGAACTGGCAGCAACCCAGTCCTGCCACGCCCCCGAACTGGTTCTCCAGGCAGTGCCATAGGTGCCTCCATCTTGTTTTTTGCTTATGCGCATGTGCAGAACAATGTTTATTGTATTGAGATGCACGTACAGCGTGCATCAACCACATGTGCATGTGGCGCACCCATGAGAGAACCGGCAGTAGTGACTGCCAGAACCCACCCCTGCATACAAACCTGAAGTCAATGGCTCTTCATATATTAAATATATAATCCACTTGAGTTCCATTGATTAGTGAATCTATTCAAACCAAAAGTTACTTGGTTACTACTTTTTAAATCTCTGTTCTTACTAATCACCAATTTTCAGTTGGGCTTAGGATCATGTCAATCCAAACATATTGCTGAATATTGACAGATAGGCTAGTGTAAAATATTAGGAAGCCTCAATATTATTGTTTTTTCTATTTTAATTGTATCTCTAATTTGATAAGCCCTATATAAAGACAGTACAGTCCAAAAAGATACTTAGCTTATTTGATATTATAAGAATCTGAACATAGCTTTCTGTGGGCTGCATCTATCCTTCATACAATTCTTCAGGTTGAAAAACATCAGTGGATACAGTATGAATATTTAATGCATAATTGGACACTTGTGCAATTTACTTCAAAAGACATTTAATTAAATAGTCCTAAACAGGGATGAACAGAGTATTCTGAAACTCTGAATCAAGGACAGCAGCTTATGCTTACTAAAGAGAGCATGTGTGTGCATGTACATGTTTAGAACCCTTATGGCACTTTGGACTCCAGCCCAAGCATGAAAATATTGTCTCTGTTTAGAAAATAATCTTTTCCAATATGTTATAGTTTTCAATTGAAAAGGTCTGTCTTAACTTTCTACATAGTAAATCAGTATTGAGGCAAGTTTCATACCTTTCACAATGCTTTCCAGAATAGCCTTCTTTGCAAAAACATTGGATTTCTCCATTATCTTCCAGACAGCCAGAAGCAAAACTACATATTAAAAAAAAGAAAAGAAACATGAAAAACCTGAAAATAGCTTTTATTTCCTTTTAAGGCATATTTATAAAGCTTATGGGGAAATAAAAATAATGTAAGGGTTACGTTACTTTCTGAACATCGACTAAAAGGCTAACATAAATAATTTCAGTCTCTGACAAGTTGCAACTATTTTTGCTTGTACTTCATTGCCTATCACCTTTTTTTTTTTTTTGCAAAATTAGAATGCAGCCTTACAATCCTGAGAACATTCTAGAAATCCAAATTGTGCAATAATTAATTAGGGAATTAAAAAAAGACATTGGATTATGTTGTATTACTGAACAAGAACAAACCTCTGCTCTTCTTTCTTCAGGCATGTTTACCTGAGAAATCTAAATATCTCCATTTTATAAGTTGAAAGGATAATCTCCATATTCACTAGATCATTGAGCAATAAATAAAAGGCTGTCTGTACATATCTAACAAAGAAAATTATTACAACTTTTCCCAGTCTATAATATTATCAGGTCAACCCGTGGTCGTCCTGAAATGGCTGCATTAGAACTCCCACAATTGTTTCCCATCAGTGATACTTAGCTGGAGGGTTTTGGCAACTAGAGTTCAAATAACATCTGGAGAATCATCATTTAGCCAGCTCTATTATTGCCCCAATTCCCTTCTCTTTTTGAAATAAACAGCAGGGAACCAGGGAGAGCTTCAGCAGCAAAGATGTGGTGCTCTATGCCAGTGTTTCCCAACCTTGGCAACTCCGGACTTCAACTCCCAGAATTCCCCAGCCAGCGAATGCAGCCTTACCTTGGTAGAAGCAAATGCTGGCTGGGGAATTCTGGGAGTTGAAGTCCGGACATCTTCAAGTTGCCAAGGTTGGGAAACACTGCTCTATGCTAATCAAGCAAATACAAGCCTTCCCTAAAAAAGTGAAGGTATTATTTCATTACACTATGTAGCAAACACAACCAAGTCTTTTAAGTGCAATGAGGCAATTAGCCTTTAAGGCATCATAACATTATTTTGGTTTTATTGATATTAACTAAACTTTCAGAAAATTACTCCAATATTCACTTTTTTATTTCTATTATTTTTAATGCACTCATATCATATTTAAAGTAGAAGACATACAAGAAATGTCCATTGCATCTGGCAAAATAAATGAATAAAAGCAATGAGTTTGGCTTTAAATACATTTTAAATTAATATACAAGAAATGTCCACTATATTTGCCAAAATAAATGAGTAAAAGCAACGAACTTGCTTTAAATACATTTTAAATTAATATCAACTAAATAAAATATATTTTAGGCCAAACCAGCTGACAAATTGTAGGCCAAGTCTCTTGTACCATAAATTTCTTTTAAAGTGGATTGTAGTTGCGATGATGCAGAAAATGTGTTCTGTCCTGTCTTCTCCTCAAGCTAAATTCCTCCAAAAGTGCAGATTTACATTTCCACAACTCCCAGTTAGGATGTTAGTTAGCAATTATGGTAATTATGAGAATTGATGCCCAGCACATCTAGAGGGTACCAATTTAGTAAAGGCTTTATTAAGGTCATGAGTCACACTGCAATAGTTCTTTAAAAAATGTAATCCAATAGGAGATCTGATCCAAGGTCATCAATATCTCATTTAAAATGGCTATTTTTTTTGTAGTAAACGCATTTAAAATTGGAATTTGTGGAAATTGCATTATGATTTTTTTCTTCATAGGAAATTTCTTATTTTATTTTATATGAAGATGTTCAAGACGAGTGATCGTTATCATCTTACCCCCCATGCCACCAGCATTGTCCATAACAAGCCACAATGACACCAAAATTCTATCATTTGTGCATTATAGCCTTATTGCACAAATAATAGAATTATCTAATAGCTGTTTTCACTATCATAAAGACACAGTATTTTCACCAGGGCAACCTTGAGCCAAGCACAATAAATACAGCTTCCCACTGTCAATCCAACTGAGTACCTGTTTGTGTAAGGGCAGTGACATTCCTTACAAAGTCCTTGACTGGCATCTCGAAAGTATCCTTCTTTACAACGTTCACACTTTTCTCCAGCAGTATTATGTTGACAGTTCTTTTTTAAAATATACAAAAACCAGAAGGTTAGCAGTGGTCTTATTTTTCATGTTTATTATTAATACCAATGTGAGAAAATGGCCATTGATATGTTCCAAGCCACCACATATTTACCTTATTGCAAGACTGAACAAATAAATTAGACCCAGTTAATGTCTGGTTAAAGGGTGTGTGGACAATTGTTTCCTGCTAAGTTCCAGAAGTAATGGCATAATATAATTACACAGATCGTCACACATTATTAATTTAAAGTAGCAGGTGTTTTACAATTAAGAAACTGTTGGTAGAAGTGATTTTTGCAGTTATAATAAAGTTTGCTTTCACCTAGCTTGTAGGTTCTTGTAATGAATAAATTCGTCTGATATTTTGATCGTCATCTTCAGCTTTATAGATTCACTACTTAAAGCAATGGAGATATAGCTCACCAATAGAACATTTGACTGAAGATCAATTTGTCTCATGAGGTTGAAATATTTTTACATTCCTACAGACTGATCTTTGTAACTTGTTGATGCATATTTTTATTTATTTGTAACCCACCTGTATCATTCTGTATCATTTTTACAAATTACTCAAGTGAACATATCTAGCACACCTATTTTCCCCACAACAACAATCCTATGAAGTGAGTTGTGAGAGAGTGACTGGTCAAAGTTACCCAGCTGGCTTTCATGCCTAAGGTGGGACTTGAAGTCACCATCTCCAACTTTCTTGTCCAGTGACTTAACCTTTAGACCAAACTCAAACTGGTTCTCATATTGTAGCTTAGAAGGACTGGAAAAATGAAAAGCTCTCCCACCGGCATGGAAATTAAATCCTACTGCAGTATTAATCATCAATCCTACTCTACTGGTATTAATATCATTCCTCTGTCATAATATGCCATTATTGAACAGAGAGGAACTTCAAGCTACATGGCTCCATATCTTCTGGATCCATATGAACAGTTCTTAAGTCTACCTGATACTAGTTGATTAAATTATTTGTTATTGCTTTTTATGTAAAGGAACATATAGTTACACCTTATAAACTATTTTAAAATCTCATTCAGTGTTGCATTTCTGAATGGAAAGGAAAACTTAACTAACAATACTAACTAGCTATCCAGATAGAATGTATGCTATAAAAATATATTGCAAATATGATATTTATCTAATATACAGTATGAATAATCATAAGGGCTACCAAATTGGGGTTGCAAAACAGAAAACAGAAAACTACTAGATCATCATTCTATCCTACCATCTAAGAGTCATGTGGATTTGTGCCACCTAATCTGTTAGCAACGATGGGCATTAAAGATACTGAAAAAGTTAATATTTAGAAAATTCTTGTCTTAGGGCAATGTACACTATCTAGCTCTTGCTGGTTGTGTTTGCTTGTTATGGCCTGTTCCTCAATCGAAATGCCTTATGATCCACACCTATTTGGAACAAGCTGATTTGGCGAACAGCTCCTACATTTATACGCAAAAGGATTTGTCAAAAACAAAGTCAAGAAAAGTATTGTGTAATGTCAAAGAACTCTGTAAGGCAATGAATAATGATTAAGTATGAACAAAAAAAATGTGGGCAAAGAAAGAGGCTAGGCTGCAAATGTATTTACTTAAGAAAAAAGAACTTAAGAATTTTTTTTCAGTATACTATAGAGAAAAAGGCAACGAAATGTTATGCAAAAACATGCAAGCCTTGTCTCCTGAATTAGAACTTTTATTCAAACAAGTATTGCCAATCATGCTCCTTTATACATATTTGCTTTGATTGACTAATTTCAAAAGGAAATAATACCAAAACCCAACACTGCTGTGTATAGATCACATGTCTGGGTAGGTTAACATTATACCTTCCAATTCCATTCCCCTTGCTTACAAATTAATCCTGCCAATGTTTATTCTTTGGCAAGAACTGCTATTACATTCCATGCTTACATATATATGACCACTGCTTAATAAGCCCCAAAAGTGAAATGAAACCATTTTTAAAGCCATTTTTAACATCTTGGTTTATTTTATTGTTCATTGCTTTGATACACAATGAAATCCATAATTAAAACGAACTCTTCACAGGAAGAAAACAGTGAAGCAATCTAGCATCTGACCATATCTCAGCCTGTAAGCTTAGTTAACTGTGTACAAGTCCAACCTTGGTAACTCTTGTTAAAAGAGAAAAAATATGAAATTCATACAAGCACAGCAAGTGAAGATAATTCATGCTTCAAAGCTGACAAAATTCTGTGGACATATTTCTGTAATAGATATGTCAGTTTTTACTATACCTCAAAGATGTTTTTATTTTTGCAGGCACAAGCAATTTCTCTGAAAGTTATTACTAGCCTGAAGCGAAAGAAATTAATAAGAGCACTTGCAGCAACATTTGTTGTAAATACTTACAATACAAATTCCAGAACCATCCAGGCATCTATCTGAATTTCCATTACAATTACATGGAACACACTTTCCTGTAAATGGACCCACTGTCTCACGATAGAATCCTGGACTGCATTCCTGATGCATAGAGGAGAAAGGAAAAGTTGAATAATGTTTTGAGAAGATTACAAAATCCATTGTTTTAAAGTGATATTGAAAAGTAAAAGAAATTTAATTATGGTTCAGGATCACTGACACATTAGTACATATTACATGATGAATTCAGACAAGACACAATAAATTACATAGTAAGATTTTTTTTGTTATGCATACAAATTCTGTTTTCTTTTTTTTACCCAAGCTGGTGAACAGGTCGGGAAATCTTCTACTTTTTACAATTTTCCTTTTCATCCAGATGTTAACCATAATACTGGACAATTCAGGCTATTAAGCAAATTGTAGAATAAAGAACAGTAGCTAGTGGAAGACTTCTTGGTTAGCTTGATTTCTCCCAGGAAGGGGTTGGTAGGCATAGCCAAGGCTTATTTACACCTCTGCTTAGCCTAAGATATCACTGAACACAAGCAATGTCCATTTCAAAGTCCATGAACTACTTGAACTCTGAAAGAGTAATTGTACATATTAAATTACAGGTGTCTGCCATGAAATATTTTATGAATTCTATCTATATTTATAATTTGATAGCATACTCTATATTTTATTGGCTATTCAGAGTACTTATATGTGTGTGTGTGTGTGTGTGTGTGTGTGTGTGTGTGTGTGTGTGTGTACACTATTCATTAATATTTTTCCAAGCAATCAGCAATTAATTTCCAAAGTATTGTTATGATAGAAGTATATTGATTACTATGATGGACTGAAAACCTTTGGGGAAAATTCTAAACTGTGTTTTTGGCTTGTGGAGAAATGATGATGATGATGATGATGATGATGATGATGATGATGATGATGATGATGATGATATTATTAACAACAACAACAACAACAATAATAATAATAATAAACAAGATGAAACAAGAATACAGAAAAGATGTGATAAAATCAAGAATGGAGAGTTGGCAGAAGAAAGCATTGCATGGCCAATTTCTGGAAAAAATAAAAGATAAAGTCGACAGTGGAAAAACTTGGTTATGGTTAACAACAGGTACATTAAAGAAAGAAACAGAGTCACTAATCCTGGCTGTGCAAGAACAAGCTACCCGCCAAAATCGAAAAATCCTCTGATGATGCCAAATGCAGACTTTGCAAACAAGCTGTTGAAACTGTTGATCACATACTCAGCTGCTGTAAAAAAACCACGCAGACTGATTATAAATTGCGGCACAATTCAGTAGCACAAATGATCCATTGGAATTTGTGCAAAAATTATAATATTAAAACAGCAACAAACTGGTGGGAACATCAGCCTGAAAAAGTCACCGAAAATCAGATGGTCAAGATCTTGTGGGATTTCCGTATACAAATGGACAAAATACTGGCGCATAATACACCAGACATCACACTGGTTGAGAAAAATAAGGTCACAATCATAGATATCGCAATACCAGGTGATAGCAGGGTCGCCGAGAAGGAACATGAAAAAATCGCGAAATACCAGGACTTAAAAATCGAAATTCAATGACTATGGCACAAACCAGCAGTGGTAATTCCAGTGGTAATTGGCACACTGGGTGCTATTCCAAAAGCACTGGAATTACATTTGAAACAGTTAAAAATTGACAAAATCACCATCAGTCAAATGCAAAAAGCCACACTGCTTGGATCTGCACGCATATTACGAAAATACGTTACAATGTCCTAGGCCCCTGGGTGGGGCCCGACTAGTAACCAATGCCAAATCTGGAAAAACAACTGGCCGCTGTGATACAATTGTATAATAATAATAACAACAACAACAACAACAACAACAACAACAACAATGTAAAATCAGTCTAAACTGTTGGACTGTGCAATAAACTATATTAAACACTGTACAAATCCACGTTCTCTCTGTGCATAAATAAATGGAAGAAAGATTTCAGTGTCATATCCCATTGGACTTGTCTTTGACCTCTTTCTGATTATGGGATTTAACTCAAGTGCCAAAAGCCACAAAAGTTACAGACCTGGGATTGCCCCACAGAAAGATAGGCCATTCATACACACAAACACATCTTAGTGTCTCATGCAAGAATGTCACATCCATTAATTAAAATGTCTCTGATAACTTATACAGTATAATCTAGTAATAGATAACTTGTAAAATTATATCTTTCGTGAATTGAATGAAAACAATTCAGAAGAATTTCTTTGTCACCATTTCCATAGTTTTTGTGACACTAGATTATTCTCATCAAAAGGACAAGTCACGACCTCTAATAGATAGCAGATTCATGTATTCCTTTTGCAGCCTCTGCCTTGCCTATAATTATACTCCACAAGTGTCTTAGCTCTTGTTTAGTAGCCAACTGGAACCATGCTGGATACTATACAAAGCGATAAAGCTATGTGGGAGACAATTTTAGAAGGAAAGCTACAGGAAAAATAGTTGTTTAGAACCCCTCCTTTCAACATCTCTGCTACAAACCATCTCCACTGAAATAATTCACCAATTCGATGTTCCTATTGGAGTTTAATTAATCTGTTCACATTTAATATACATGTCCATCTTTATAAAGCCATTATGTAGGAAATCACATAGTGAATTAGTTGAGCAAGGGAATATACTTTCAGATACACCTATTTATGTGTGTGAATTTACGCAAAAACATACCTTTAAAACTACTAGTTTAGGAGATTAGCTTGAATATTAGTGGAATTTTTGGCTAAAAAAATAATTACTCCTTCTAGTATAATGAGACTTCCACTAATAACTGGTTAGAATATACTGTATTAATCTTGGTGCATTAAATTCATGGTGCATTAATTTACTTTTGGTATAATATTTAATTAATGGAATCTATGGGTATAAATATAATAGAACAGTGGTAAATCTATGGTCAGCCAGATATTTCTTAACTGCAAATCCCAACAGCCTCAGCCAATATGCTCAATGATGCTAGAGGCTGCAATTCAGTAGCATTTGAAGATCCACAGATGTTCACTGGTATTTATCAATCAATGCTAAGTTAAATGGAGAGCGAATGTGATTCATTTAATAGTTGCAATTAGGGGTAGATCTCACATTTATCTAAAAAACATTTCTCTCTTGGCGAGATTGACTGGATTCACATATCTCATTAAAACATAATCCACCACTGGATTATGTTAGGTGTTCCATTGTACTATGGCAAAATCAAACTAAACATGTTCTGACTGAACCCAATGAGCATTTAACACTGAACAAAGTTATATGCAACAATCCAAATTTCCAATTAGTAAATATTGGGCTAATGAACTGCCTTACAAGACATAAACAAATCAAGACATTTGCGAATCTTCTGCAAATTAGTAATTCTCTGTGCATGAGTATACTAGGCAATTATGCTGGCAAAGCGAGTAGAATGGACATTTAAGATGGAGATCATTGCAAAGATATTTGCTAAATTAGAATTAGTAATTATTAATAAAGACATAGGAAACTGTTAGGGACAATTATGTAGGAATTAATCATCTTAAACTGAGTCATCAAGTATTTGGTGAGAAATGGTCAAAAAACTGCTTTAAAACCGTTTTAAAACAGCAGCCTTAATAAAAACAATATTTTTCACCTATGTATAAAAGGAAAAAAATGCTCCTCATATAAAATGTCCATATTGGGAGCTTTTTAAAAAACCCTATTTCTTAGGTTTCAAACTTGTTATGTGTAGACAGCACCGCACCCAATTGAATATTGACATGTTTGCAGTCCACATTTCAACCCCACAGGGGCGGGGTGTGTGTGTAGCTTTAATCAGTTTTGTTTTTCATATGTTTGATACAAGGATTACAATCTTCAATATAAAAGGAAGCAAACTAACCATTTACTGACCTCCTCCACTGGTAGACTCCAGTGTCGATTATAGCTATCAAGAAACAAATCAGTTTGGCCCCAAGGCTTTCATATCAGGATATTTTAAAAAGTTCAAAATGAAAGAATAGGTGGGGCGAGAGAAAGAGAAGGGTGGTTACCTGTCTTGGTTTAAAATCCCAGTGACCTTGTTGCTGTTGCCCTTGGCCCAAGAGCTGTGGAAAGGCTATCCTCTGTTGTGAAACATGTCCCAGACACAGCCTCAGGCCTGTGCAGAAGGCCAGCCACCCAAGGTTGCACAGCTTCCATCCTGCAGCCCTCATTTTGCTGAGCGTTAAGCTGAGCTGCTCCCTCGCCCAGCCCTTGTTATTATACAGCACTTTCCCTTATGCTACTTCGTATTGTTCTCCTCTTGGCTATATCCGTATGCCCGGATCTGCTCCTCCTTTAAACTTTGTACGTGAGTCAGGTTGTGCAATACAGAGCAATGCCTGATGTTAATGATCACATTGCAACTTCTGAAAATGAGCGTATCACCGAATTAAGGTGTGGCAGGCATCACCTTTTCCCTCCCGAGCATAGCGAGACAGTTCTAGACGATGAAACAGCCCTGTAAATCACAGGCTGAGTAATTCTGAGGAAATATGTTGAGAGGGTGTGTTCCTTCCTGGAGTGTGTCTAAGTCTACCTTTTGGCTATGTATTTTCACTAGGTTAGAGAAAACAAAGCCACAAACCCGACAAGGTATACTTAGGGAATAGGAAAAGCAATGTGGAGAGTTTAAAGGCACTCTTGTCACTTGATCAACTGAACATTTTATATCACAGACCATAAAATCATTTTTTAAAATTAAACTGTAAGTGTCTTCAAAATTACTTTTAACAAGCCCAGATTATAACTTGAGGAGAAAACTGAGACCGGTACAGGCTAATCTTTAAAATATTTGCTTTGCAAAAGGTTACAATGCTGCCAAATCAGTAGTGAAATAATACCAAATAAGCAGGGTAATGGTAGATTGACAAAATAGCACCATAGAAGAAAGGAGTTTAAGTGGTGCAACTTTTTTTCACTCTAACCTGACAAACTGCATCTTAAATGTTAGTTGCCTATAAAAATAAGAAAAGCCTTGTGCATTTGACATCCTTTAAAAACTCACAAAGATTTATAAACCATGATTAAGCAAATTTTAGTTTAGAACCATATATTAACTGGGTTACATTATGATGGCTTTACATTTTATTTTATTTTTATTTATCTATTATTTTATGTTTGCTTACCTTGCTTTTTTAATCACAATGTCTATGAATAAATGTACCATAATTTTCGGACTATAAGATGCACCGGTGTATAAGACACACCAAGATTTCAAAGAGGTAAGTAAGAAAAAAAGTTTTTGTCCTCCCCAGCCCCCAGGAGCATTCTGTAGGCTTCAGCAGGGCTGGGGGAAGGAAAAAACACATCTGTTTATGCAAAAAAAGGGGGGGCATTTTTGTCTTCCCTCAGCCCTGCTAAAGCCTGCAGAGTACTTCTGGGGGCCAGGGGAAGGTAAAAATGCCTCCTTTATTTTGTGCAAAAAATGGCCCGTTTTTCAACTGTTTTTTTGAAAAATGGGATGCAAGGGCAGGGATTTGGGAGGCCAAAAATGGCTGTATTCGGTGTATAAGACGCACCAACATTTCCACACTCTTTTAGGGGGGGAGGTGCATCTTATACAACCAGTTTATGTGGATAGATTACAGTTTTTCACTGAACTGCTAATATGGTTCAAAGTAGGTCTCTGCTGCACTTTAAGTCAAAGCATTGTGAATAATATTTTCCTGTTGCTAGAGCCAAATTAGTATTGTTATCCTGAGTGATGTCTCATGGATGATGCAGAACAAAAAGAAAAGAAAATTCCTACCTGACATGAATCATCCATATATTCAGGAGGGCAGGAACACACCTCTACAGCATAAGCGATATTACCATTTCCTGTATTGGTGGCTTCTTCCAGACCAACATCGCCCAAGGTTAACCGCTGAGTTTCTGAGAAGTAAAGACCTCGGATTTGTAATTCATCTAGTCTAGACAGGACCATCATCAGTTCGTCTCGAGATACTAAGTTATTGCTGCTGGTGTGCCTGAAGTTCTCCTGCACATTCAAGATACAAATGAAATTTGGGTCTGGAATAGATTGCAATAATCTTCTATAGCACAGATAAAAAGGACATCAATTTTCAAAGAAAGACAGCATGAAAATCAGATGCTGGGAATCTAGTGGAAAAGGTGCTAGAAAAATAACTGTATCAAAAGAGAATTAAAACCAGGCAAGAGATAATTAAAATAATGATATGGAAGGTAGAATCAACAAATAATAACAGAGCATTAGGAGCAAAATATACACAGTATATATATATATATTTTGGAAATGTTCTTCAAGCAGTTGTCAAGCAGCAACAGCTCTGTGTTTATGCAAACCAATTGGAGAATATATACCGTATTTTCACGACCATAAGGCGCACTGAAAATCCTAAAATTTGATCAAAAACCGGCAGTGCACCTTATAATCCGGTGCGCCTTATATATGAAAAAAGTTTGAAAATCAAATGACCGCGAGCAGGCACGCACACGTCCCTCGGGTCTGTCCCTCCCGGTTTTACGCTATTATCATGACCTTTACCTTCTTTTCCCGCCGTAAGGACAAGCAAGACGGTAGTGTTTCAGTTGAATTCCACCCTTCACCTTCCTAAAAGGTTTCACATTCCCCTTCCATTCGGGAAATTCTTATCTCATTGCTTCCGAGTTTTACTTAGCGTGCGCGCGAATACGCCTTTGTCCGGCTTCTAGAACCCAACCCCAAGTGTTGCACTCGAAAATGGACATCTTTTAACAAAGAGTCTCACCCCGCAGAGCAGGGATTACGCATCGAAGGAATTTCGCACGGAAAAATGGGGAGGGAGGGGGAGGCAATTTGTTTGCTTTGTGGTCTCCTGATGTCACCCCCTTCCCCTTGAGAAATAGTGCACTGCTGGCGCGCGCGCCTTTCCCAAACAAAAATGGGTTGAAGTGGATTCGCCTACGTTGTTTAGACTAGGGGATTGTTTGGGCGGTTTTTTTGTTGGCGATTTTGACGATTCGAGCATTTTTGACTACGATAAACCAATCAGAGAAAAGCTCTTGCCTACCCGGGGATGAAGGCGTTATTGAGGGGGGTGTTGGAATAATTGTTGAAGTGAATCCTAAAGGCTGGATGGATGAAGAGATAATGAAGAATTGGCTATCAGAAGTTTACGTTCGGAGACCGGATGGATTTTTTCGTGCGTCGCCGGCATTGTTGGTGTATGACTCCATGCGTGCCCACAAAACAGAAAATGTGAAAGCCCTGGTGAAAAAGACCAACTCGGAGCTTGCTGTAATACCGGGTGGTCTGACCAAAGAAGTGCAACCACTGGACATAAGTGTCAATCGTTCCTTCAAGGCGAAACTGCGAATCACGTGGGAAAACTGGATGATGGAAGGAGAGCACTCCTTCACGAAGACCGGGAGGCAATGCCGGGCCAGTTATGCCACTGTGTGCCAGTGGATAGTGGATGCCTGGCATAAAGTATCCGCCAGAACTGTCATCCGAGGGTTCGCGAAGGCCGACATCATTCCTGGACTGACCAGTGACGGCATCGAGAGTATCGAAACTGATGACTCTGACGATGAAGATACGGGCCATACGGATTTGGGTTTGCTGGATGCCGCCATCGCCCAATTGATGATCTCCGATACGGAGGACGAAGAGTTTGAAGGTTTCATGGAAGATGAATAGAGCCAACTATAAAATAAAGCTGTTTAAAAGTTTAATAAAAGTGACTGATTTTTCTCTGTATTTTTTAGTGTTTTAATTCTTTTTAGGCTGCGTTTAAAGGCTACGCCGATCCGTGAAAAATGTTTGCAAATTGAGCACCTGCCAGTAAACCCCGCGATCGTGCGATTTTGTTAGTAATTTGTTTGTTTGCGAAAGTTGCGCACGGATGAATGTTGAAAAAAATATGTGCGCCTTATAATCCGGTGCGCCTTATATATGAAAAAAGTTTGAAAATTTACCGTTAACTGATACTGCGCCTTATAATTCGGTGCGCCTTATGGTCGTGAAAATACGGTATATACTGTACACACACACACACACACACACACACACACACATTTTAATTTTATTAAGCTCCTGTCCGCGAAGATAATGTTCATTAAAATAAAAGTTTTTCACCCGTTATTAGGTAACTCTCCCATATCAATCAAAGAGAGGTTGGGTATATGAAGGGAAGAATTGTTTGAAAATAAAATTGTATAATCTTCCATTTCCAACATATTAAAACATTAGATCGCATAATACTATGCATATACCTGTATTGTCCACAGGTTCCATTCTTGTTCATTTTGATTAGCAAACAGCATTCAATGCTATTCACTCCCACTTTTACCAAAATCAAAGGCATTTGTTAGACTGCTTTAGAACAAGATTCAATTCCTATGTTTAGTTCTAATGCTTAACTCAGCCTCATACATCAAAATGTCAGTTTGGAATGGCCTCAATCTTCAAGTACATCTGTAATTGAATGTAGAGTAGGATGCCAAATATCTTTATTTTTCAAGTCTAAACATGAATCAACCAAGAACTGAGTTTGACTATTCAGGCAACTAGTGCAAGTAGTTGCTTAACAGCAATGCAACACATTATTGTACCACATTACAGAATTACTGGATGCCAGAATAATCTGATGCTGCTGTTCTGTGTTTTGAAGGAAGAAATATATCCACATAAGTAACCAAACAAGTTATCTTTACAATCTGGCTTCCAGAAATATTCCCCAGAAGACTTCTGACATGAGAATACCTATGGTAGCAAAACAGGCAATTTTTCATAAATAAGAGATTTAGCACTAGGTAAATATGGTGTCTCTAAAACCTTTGATTATTATAACATAGAAACAAAGCAAGTGGGAGGCAAAGGACTCAAGCAAGTATGCAGCACATCTGGTAATCCTCCACGAGATTCCCAAATACCTATTGCACCCAAGGATGCTGTCCCTCTTTCCAAATGCTGATTAAATATGCTGTTCTCCCTTGCTGCATTCAAAGTATAAACTTGCTACCTTCTTCTATAGAACATGAAGACTAGGGATCCACCCTGTAGTTTTATTTCCCACTGAGAAAATATTCTCAATTATTTATAGCAATAGCAGTAGACTTATATACCGCTTCATAGGCCTTTCAGGCCTCTCTAAGCGGTTTACAGAGAGTCAGCATATTGCCCCCAACAATNTTAGTAATTTGTTTGTTTGCGAAAGTTGCGCACGGATGAATGTTGCAAAAAAAAGTGCGCCTTATAACCCGGTGCACTTTATATATGAAAAAAGTTTGTAAATTTACCGTTAACTGATAGTGCGCCTTATAATCTGGTGCGCCTTATGGTCGTGAAAATACGGTAGTAAAATATCCCAATGAAGCCAAAGCTAATTATCCAGTTGTGTGCTTTTATCACCCAAGGCTATTTACAATTTTACTCATGGTTGAAGACCTTTATAAGGCAAAGGTTTCCAATTGTGCTTAGAACTATAAAATTCTCAAACATCTTTCCAAGTAGCTGTATAGCTGATGACACTGAAGGTATGGCAAAAGCTGTATTCAGTGTATAAGATGCACCTAGATTTTCAGTCTCTGTTTTGAGGGAAAAAGGTGTGTCTTATACTTCGAAAAATACAGTAACTCACTAAAACTAAGGCTTTTTAAAATATTACAAATATAATATATAATATTATAAAATATAATATTCATTTGACCTATCTATCTCTCTACTTTTTTCATATTGAATTTTCTTGTTCCTCTTGTTGTGTCCCTTCACATTGTTATCTGGATAAATCCCTCATCCATTTCCATTGTTTTCCTAATAGACCTGCAGAGGTCTGGTGCATCCAAGCACATAGAATTTTTTTAAAAATGTTCCATCCTGTCTGTTTGCATATTATCAGTCTGTGCTTCTAAGACGAAAAGGTCAGTAAGACCTTCAATAGTTGAAATAACAATGCATGTTATATTAAAAGACAGGTTGTATTGCTTTCTGAATGAAGAGAGAAAGTAACTCTTAAGAACTGGATAAAAATGGACTTTAATTAATATCAAAGAATTAAATGTATTTTAATTGATTAAATCTACCTTGTTATTTAGAAATAGAAATCTATGTATATATAGACTTTTTATTTGATTCACAAACATAACTTTATTTATTTACATGACTACCCATCTCAAACTATGTGGCCAGCTTAAAAATAATGAAAATAAAATCACCAGAAAGAATAACAGCAATAATTACTAATTTTTTTACCCTTGTTATGTGATGAGAATTTATATATTTATTTGTTTGTTTATAAAATGTATTAGCTGCTCATCTGACATAAGATAACTCTGGATGGCTTACAATAGTGATCAATTTGGTTCCAATGCCTGTGGAAATTGCCACATTTTTTTATAGTCGTCTTAAAAGCCAGGATGTTTGTGCTAAGTGAATATTAGGAGGTAGAATGGGAATGGTCTAGAAAGCATTCTGAAAGGAAAGCACTGGCACTGGCACTGACACTGACACTGACACTGAGAAGGAACACTATATGAGTCCCATTAGATGTCACTGTTTTAGATATGGGACTCTTACAGTATTTGGGGGACAGCAAAAGTCCTTAGAGAGATGAAGCCATCCAAATAATCCAGTCCTGTTCTATGAAGGCTATAGCATCTTGAATTACACTTGGAATGTATAGGGGTTTAGTGCAACTTGCAAAGTAGAAAAATGGTATGAGCTGAGGTGCACTTATAATTACCTGCACTGTTGCATTCAGATCAGGTTGTAGTTTTCATGAAGTTCATGGCAGTTCCATGTAGAGTGCATTAAGAGGTGATGAGCACATGAATCACTACAAGCAAGATGTCCTTATTCAGAGAAATAATGTACAATACAAAATTGTACAAAGCCTAATCACTACAACCACCTGCTCAACTTGAGAGAATCCCCAGATTGTACACTAGGTCTTTGTGTGAAAGTATATTCCATATGGAACCAAAATGGAAAATATCCAGTTCTGTGAGTTCAAGCTCACAGCATTCAATCTTGATAGTGTTGGATTAAAGCTTCCCCCCACATTCAGACATTCACAGTCTCCAGGCACTGGAATAGAATAGCTTCACTTATTACAGGAGAAATTGTTAATAATACAACATGCAATGACACTGAATTATCTCTGCCGGTGCCTTCCTATAGATGTTAAAAGGAATGAGGAAAGCATAGAGCTCTAAGGTTTCCAACCAAGCTGGAGTATAGGGTTAGATTGTTCCTTGAGACCAACCCTGAAGCAAAGAAAATTGCAACTAACCATGAAGCAAAGAAAACCATCATAGCACAATGTTTCCCGCTAATCCCAAAGTTACTATAGTTGGGAGTATTGACAGACACTGACAGAAAAGTGGAGCCAGAATAGAT